TGTCTCTGGTTTTATAAATTTTTTTGTGTATATATATATAATTTTTTTATTGAAGTATAGTCAGTTTACAATGTTGTGTCAATCAAATTCTTTTTTAAAATCATTTAAAATTTTAGCTATTTAAATCTACATTGAAAACAACACATTTTAAAATTTGAATTTTGTTGTTTTAGTCATCATGGCCATCTTCAATCAGAGGGACTGAAATTTAAAAAATTAAATTTAAAATCTATTGTTTCAAACTCACACAACTGAATACGTGTAAAGGAAATGTAAACTTTCAAGTGCTGATTTTTGAAAGTTTGTAGCATTCACACTTCGGAAACTGGACTCAGATTTGCCAAACGCGCTGTACTTGGAAAAGGACCTGTTGATTCCACAGGCCAGGAACGGCATCTGTGAGAAGACAATGCTCGGAATTGTCTCCCAGAGGACTGGGTAATGGCTGGGCAGGCGAGGGCCTGGGAGGGGCAGGAGGAGGACATTCCTGGCTTGTGTGAGTGACAGAGTAGTGGGTTGGGGTCCCCGGAGAAATGCCAGCTGTTCAGTGGTTAGGGTCAGCATTCACACTGGCCCAAGGCAGAAAATGAGGCAGGAGGGGTAAGATGGGGCATAGAGGCCACTGAAAACCATATGAAGATTGGGTGTTAGGCTGTGGGCCATAGGGAGCCATTGAAGGTTTAAGAGCAACAGAGTGACACGGTCTGATTTGTGTGGGAAAAGGACAGCAGACTTGCAGAGAAACCACAGGAGGAGCTATGGGAGATGGGCCACTGGCCACCACTGTCCCCTTCCCTTCCAGGCATACATGACAGCACTGCCTGTGCCTTTCTAGGTGTGACCACAGGACTAAATCTCACTAGTGGAAAGTGAGCAAACAGGTGTCACATCTGGGTGGAAGCATTTAAGCAGCAGGGCACAGTTCACGCTCTGAAGCCTGGTGTTCAGACGGTGGCCACGTAAGGTGGTGGAGCCTCTGTTGTCTGTATCCCCGAGGCTTACAGTAAGCAGGGACCTCTGTCAATGAAGTGCTATATGTAGCAAGAGCCAAAAATAAACCTTGCTGCCTTGAGCCTCTGCACTCTGGGGAATGTTATTTTTGGCAGCCTAGCCTAGCCTGACTGACACAGAAACTTGCAGGCCCAGGAAGATGCGGGCCTGAGCCAAGGATGATGGAAGGTGCGACATGTCAATTGTGGGTGGCTGCCCCAAACTCAGTGGCTTCAAACAGTATGTGGTTTTCTTGGTTCTGTTTTTAGCTTGTGAGTCTGTGGGTTGGCTGGGTGGTTCTGGTGGATTATTCACTCACGCATCTGTGTCATCGGTGGGTCTGCAGCTCTTAGCTGGATGCTCCCATGTGTCTCAGGGTCACTGGGTGGGGATGGCCATGGCTGGCAGCACTGGGGTGTGGCTCGGCTCAGCTCCGTGCCTCACCTTCAGCAGGCTAGCCCAGAGAGGGTCTCCTAGCCATGGCAGAGGTCAAGAGTGAAAACAGGCGAGCACTTTTACAAGGTTTTTCTTCGGTCATGCTTGCTAACGTCTCATTAGCAAAATAAGTCACGAGCCTGAGCCAGGAGTCAAGGTGTAGAACAGAATGCACCACAAAGCCGGACAGCAAAGGGTACAGATGAAGAGAGAGGCGTGAAGACTGGGGCTATGACCCCCGGAGGTGCAGCTTCAGCACTCAATGCCTGATTGGATGTAAAGGGAGACATCACGTTGTCTCCAAGGTGCCCAGCAGTGTTCACCCCCATCTGTGTACCTGCCTGCCACTCCACTCATCAAGACAGGGCATCTGTTTCCCCACCCCCTGTGACTGGCTCTGACCTACAGAATGTGAGAGCGTGACCCTGTGCCAGTTCCCAGCCTGGTCCAGCTGCCATGTAAAGACCACTGGATAATGAGCGGCCATGTGGGGGCAGGAGGGCACGGGGAATCCAGGCAGCCATGCGAATGAGAACCTTGGGTCGCCTAGTCGACTCCTGTCTGAATGAAGCCACAGGAGTGAGTCCAGATAAAACCGGAGGAGTCGTGAGAAATAATAAACCACTGTCATTGGAACCACTATGTATTAGGGTGATGGGTTATGCAGCAACTGCTAAGTGATACAGGACAGGTGGAGGGAACTTACAAGGCTGGTGCCCAGACTGATGCGTTCTTCAGCTGTGGTGGCGCCACTCTGAGAGCTCCAGAGGCAGGAAGAGCTTCGAGGAGACAAGTTGTGCGTGTGAGTTCTGTTTGTGGGACCTCCACGCAGTGAGACCTACTAGGCGTCGATTGGGAGACACAAGTCTGAACTTACGGAGAGATGGGGGCTGGAGATGGGAAAACATTTCACACTGGACAACAGGATGCCGTGGACATAAAACTGCTCACAGAGAGGATGTGGAAAGTCCGACTAAAAGTGGGCCAAGAACAGAGTCTTGAGGAGTGCTCATCTTAAGAAGTCCTCAAATCTTATCGCGTGTAATTACTATCTGGTGAGAACGTGAAGATGCAGAGTCCCTGGCCCGACCATCTGCTGTCCGACTCAGGAGGTCTGGGCTGTGCCCGCGAATCTGCTTTGCCACCTGCTCCCACCCTTCTTCTCCCAAATACGACAGATGGAAAAATCCCACCCCAGGTGAGGCAGATTTGGCTGGGAGAGTAGGAGAGAGACCTGGAGCAAAGTTAAGAGAAGGTTGATCTGAGTTTGTTTGACTTTTTGGTGTGAAACATGGTCATGTTTACAGCCTCATGAGGAGGCGTGTGTAGGGAGGGGAAGGTTCAAGAACAGCAGACATTTCTCCCTGCCACTGAGTGGGAGGGCCATGTGCAGTTAGAGACAGAAGAGCTCTTAAGGGACATCACCGCTGAAAACAGCTGGGAGGAACATGCAGGAAGTGTCTTAGGGGACATCAGTAAGGGACGACCTGAAGTGGGCCAGCTTCAGGCCTCTGCAGTGTGGCTGGGGGAAAAAGAGCTTGTGGTCAGAAGAGTTCGGTGGAGCCTGCTGGCTGTGAGACCCTGGGCAAGCCACTTAACTTCTCTGAGCCTCACTTGCTTCAGTGAGAGAATGATTTACATCCTGCCTCCCAATGTCATGCATAGTAGTTAAGAGCCCAGGCCCAATACCAGACGGTGCTGGAATCCCAGCTTTGCAGCCTCAGGGCCCCAAGGCCTGGGGCAAGTCATTCTCTGTGACCCTGTCTCTTCACCTGCACAACGGAGATCATGACAGTCCCTACCTCGTAAGGGAACTCCTCTGACCTCCAGGCTTTGCTCATGCTGTTTGCTCAGTTTGAAGTGCTACTTGGCCCCCACTCCAACCCTGCCCCAATATGGGTGTCTTCTACTCAGCTTTCAGGAATTCTTCCCTGACCCCCATCACCCAGGTCCTCTTCTGTCCTAGCATTTATCACACTGTAATTACATAATTCATTATCTGTTGTCCCAACCAGGCTGGGCTCCAGGAGGCTAAGAACCAGGTCAGTTGGGTACCACTAACACCACCTGTGTGGATGCGAATGAAGGCTCTGGGGCCAGACAGCCTAAGTTCATCAGTCTGGCTCCCCCACTATTAGCTATGTGACCTTAGGAAAGTAATTTAACCATTGTGAACGTCAGTTTTCTCATCCCAAAATAGAGGTAGTAGGACCTAGAGGATAGGTTTGTTGGAAGAACATAAATTAGGTAATTTACATCAAAGCACCAGCAAAGAGCTGGCAAATAGTAAGCATTCAACAAATGCTAGCTACAGGTGCTGGCAGTAGTAGGCAACTGACACATTACTGTCTAATAAATCAATTTCTATATCCTTAGTGACTGAGGCTGGGGAAAATTTGTTCACTCATTAAAATTTGCCCCAAACCTATAAGCAATGAAAATCTAGTAGCAATGAGCACACTTAGCATCCACATCTTGAATTCTCAACACCATTCTCCAGGAAAAGCAACCAGGGGTCCTTGGAGAAATGGCTGTAGCAAAGAAAGTAGAACTGGAGCCTAGAACATCTTACTGTGTCAGAAAGCAAGAAAGTACTCAAAAGAAGTCAGATTAGTGTCCAAGACACAGGAGCTGGCTTGACAAGGCTTCGCTGGCCAATTTGGAGGGAAATTAACCAGTAAGAACAATGATAATTATAAAATACAGAACTGGGTGGAGAGTATAGCTCAGTGGTATAAGCACATGTTTAGCATGCACAAGGTCCTGGGTTCAATTCCCAGTACACCTATTTTTTAAAAAATCCATGAGCCGATAGTGATTCTATAAAAAAGCGGGGGTGGGGGAGACTTCTTATTTACTGAGGGGTGCCAGTTAATTAATTGAGATAATAAATAATGGCAAGACTGAAGAAAAAAAGCAAAGTTTTGAAAACACCTATGTAACTGATACAGGTAAAAATGATGCTAAAACTACTGAGTGAAAGGTTGGTTGAGAACAGGATATGCACATGATCTCAATGGATCACCCCAGGAAGTCCGTCTTAATTACAAAGGGAAAGTGGTCCCATTCACTGGAGGAACAGGGCAGACACCACCTTTATCAAATGATCAAGCCCTCACACCTCCAATAATGGGACCAATTGGCATTACCTGCTTCCTGCTGTGATGCAACTGGTGTGTCCTGCCAAAAACTAACCTGAATCAAATTGAGGGGGAGGGCTCTTCTGGACTAAAAAGAGACTAAAGAATAGAGAGGGAACAAAAGGCCAGGTGCAACTGGATCCAGGATTGGGGTGGGGTTTTATTTGGAACAACTGAGTAAATTTGAATATTAACTGTATATTAGCAAATAATTTTGCATTAACGTTAAATATCTTGGATATGAAAATGGCATTTAAGTCATGTAGGATAACACTTAGTAGATACATGCTGAAATATTTATGCTAGATATCTGCAGCTCAGTTTTAAAAGGAACAGAAATCAATCCTAAGCTCCCGCCACATAGTTCGCGCGTGCGCACAGCCCTCTCTTTCTGAGACTTATTTCGCGAGGCTGGAGGGTTAGATTGGGTGCTACAGGGCGGAAATACGCAACGGGGGCTTCCGGTGACCGCGCAGCCGCCCAACGCAGCGGAATGGAGGAGGTCCCTCATGGTGAGCGCGAGCGGGGCGTGGGTGGTGGGTCTGAAGGGACAGGGGCGACTCTTAACTGTGACTTTGTCTCTGCGCAGACTGTCCCGGAACCGGCAGCGCCCAGGCGGGCCGAGGGGCCTCATGTCAGGGGTGCCCCAACCAGCGGCTTTGCGCATCTGGAGCTGGTGCCGCTCCGGACCCGGGTGAGTAACGGGCAAGGCTTGAACCGGAAGGGGGAAGCGCTGGCCCGGAAGAGGAGGGAGGTGCGGGGTGTGTTCGTGTGATGATGGTGATGGGGTAGGAGCCTAAGCGATGAATGACAGGGGCAGGGGCCAAAGGATACAGGACTTGGAAGCGGGGGTGTAAGGGGCGGGGCTTGAGGAATGAGTGACAGGCGCGGGACCCTGAGGGCCAGGGCATTTAAAAGGCGAGGAGCGGAGAAACCTGGCAGGATTGGGGTGGAGCCTGTGACTGGCTCGGAGTCAAAAGGGGTTTTAGGAGGGGCGAGGCATGGGAGAAAGTCGGAGGGGATGAGGGGTGGGTGGGGCCAGAAGTTTGACAGTAACTAGGAGTGATTGGGAGGAGGCCCTCACCAGAGGGAATAGGGTATAAATTTTTAAGTCAGGGAGCTTGGGCTTAAATCCTGGCTCCGCCAGCTGCTTTCTTTGGACAAAATTTTCTTCCTTTGGGAAACAATTCTCCAATTAATTCAACACAAGTATGTATTAATCACTTCCAGGCACAGTGCTTTGTTCTGTGAATGAGACAGATGAGGTCACTGCCCTACGGGAGATTAGTTGAATAGGAGAGACCCACAATAAACAAATCATCACAGTAGTAAATACTATGAAGGAGAAATTGGAGGTTGGGAGCCTGCGAAAAGGATCTTTAAAAGCAGAAGCAGGTTGGGAGAAGACTTTTGAAGGAATTCAAAGAGAAACTTGGATTTGGTTCTTCGGTCCACTGCACACAGTGTGGCCCTGAGCAAAAGTCTTAACCTCTCTGAACCTCCATTTCCTCATCAAAAATGGGGGGAAATAGCTACAGTGTTGTTTAAAGGATATGAAATAGGATGAAATATTGAAAGCGTAGTAAATGTGTAATAACTGATAGTTATAGTTAACTGACAGTAAGTGCCTGCAGTTTGTCAGTTTCTCAGTCTTGGCACGATTGGCATTCTGGGCTGGATAATTCTGTGTTGCACGGTGTCTGCCCTGTTTTTCTGCCCTGAGCACCACAGGACATTTAGCAGCATCCCTGGCCTCTACCCACTATATGCCAGTAGTGTCCTTCCTGTGACAACCAAAAATGTCCCAAGACATTGCCAAGTGTGCCGTGGTGGGGATTGCCCCCAGGCTGGGAATCGCTATATTCACAGCTCTGTCCTGGAGCTGGGAATATCGTGTGAACCCTCTCATGGAGTTTATTTTCTAGCTGGGGAGACAAGTAAACCAGTAAGTAAGGGAGTGTCAGATGTGCTGGCAGCGTTTTTTTTTTTTGCAGCACTGACTACCATTGACAAGGTGCTCTTTCACTCAGTATTCCTTAAAATAGCGGGAGGACTTAGCTTCCCAAAGTGACAGTCGAGACTGACAGGGGCTTTGTTGTCTGAATTGCTTTCTTTGCAGCCATAGAGGAAATCAAAGAGAAGATGAAGAGTGTGAAACACAAGATCTTGGTGCTGTCTGGGAAAGGTGGTGTTGGGAAAAGCACATTCAGTGCCCACCTGGCCCACGGCCTAGCGGAGGATGAAAACACACAGGTGGGACCTTGGGGAAAACTGGGAGAGGCTCCTGTCTGAGGGCCCATGATGGCTCGAATTCATTAGAGTCAGTTGAGCTAGCCTCTTTGGAATCTAGGTCCCTGCAGAGAGAATGAGGAAGTGCGAAGCAGTCGAGCAGTGACATGCAGCGTCTCATTGGGTTCTCTAGCCACGCGCAGGAATAGCAGGTGTACATCTCTTTTGGCTTCTTGGTTATTCATTACGTTAAGTTCACACTTCTTGCTCTTTATTAACCCCCTTCTGCCTTTTTCTAGGCCAGGGGTCTGCAAACTGTAGCCCTTGGCCAAATCCAGCCCATCTCCTGTCTTTTTATGGTCTGTGAGCTGAGAATGGTTTTTACATTTATAAATGGTTGCTTTTAAGTTGTTATGTTAGTATCTACCTGTTATCCTTGATTTTGCCCACAAGGCCTAACATACTTGCCATCCGGGCCTTGAAGAAAGTGCTTGCCGACCCCGGTCCTCAGCCATTCATTTACACCCACTCCCCAGAGGAGCACGAAAACTCAGATTCCCCACGGCTGCTCTCGGGATTTCAGCTTTAGTAAAAGAGGTGGTAGGGTGAGGAACAAGAAAAATACTTTTACCAAAACAGTAAAATGGAAATTTGCAATACCTGTGACTTTAAAAACTACAGGTTATTCATTGGGACTCATGACAGTTTGGCATTGATCTTAGAAAATGACCCCAGTATTCACTTTGATACCATTTTATACCTAACAAAATCAAGAGGACTATGGTTTTTTATTTTTGTTAAACCCAGAACATTCAACTTTTTTGTTTTTGCCAAAATGAGGTTTTGCTCAAAATTCTAATTTAAAAAAAGAAAAAAAATATATATATATATATGCATGCAGGGTGGAAGATATGGCTCAAGTGGTTGAACACATGCTTAGCATGCATGAGATCCTAGGTTCAATCCCCAGTACCTCCTCTAAAAAAATTAATAAATAAACCTAATTACTCCCTACCCCCCCCAAATACATATGCATACCAGAAATTGCTAGAGAGACATGGGTGTCTCTCAAAACCCACTTCCCAATGCGTCGAACCCTGAAACGAGAGACCTCACGACTTGTGTGTGTGCGGGCTGGGCGAGAGAGCCCACCGTGCGTGATGCAAATCTCCAGCTCAGTGCTGGTTTTCCCTCAGAGCGCTGTTCGGGGCCTGCAGTGGAGTTCTGTGTAAGGTAGAAACGCTTCTGTTGTGTTCATGTGGAAAGCCGTTCCTGACCATTCCAGTTCTTTCCATGGTGGTCTTGCTATGTGCCTTCTTTTGCACATTGATTTATTTTTGAAAATTAGTTTTTTCTTTATGTGTTTTGAATGTTGGAGTTATTTTTGTGTGAAAGGGCTAACTGACTTTTCAGTTTACATTTCTGTTATACTCTTGACAAATGACCCTTCACTTTCGTTTGGCGTTTTTTTTTAAGACAGTACTGGAAGGAACTGTAGAGGTATGTTTAATATGGAAATTTCAGAACTGCCACATGTTGCTGGTTATATTTTTTAAACTCTCAAAACTGGAGAAATGTCAATACTCTCTACTTGTGTGAGGTAAACCATTCTATTCCAGTATGAAATAGCACTGTAAGTTCTTAATAACGTAAAGACTTTATTTCCTCTACAGAAAACCAGCAAAGCTAGCTACAGTGGGCAGGTGGAGGGGATCGAGCCCACCATTCTGACATGCCCTCCAGATATGCACACGGATACACACACGTGCGCACAGAGACACGCTGATACATACAGATGCACACACAGATTCACAGGTGTGCACACATAGATACACAGATACACAGTGGCCCCTGAGAGACCTCACCTAGGACCTCCAAGGGTACATTTTTTTAAATCATTGGGTTAAGAAAGTAGAGTTGGCTTCAGGGGCAGCAGACTTTTTCTGTAAAGAGCCAGGTGGTAAGTGTTTGAGGCTTTGCAGGCTGTATGTACAGTTTCTGAAGCAGCTATTCAGTTCTGCCCTTGAACATGAAAGCAGCCATAGACAGCCTGTCCACAGATGAGTGTGGCTGTGTTCTAATCAAACATTGAATTTCATATAATTTGAATTCCATGTAACTTTAACATGTGAAATAAAAATATTCCTTTAATTTTTTCCCCCAACTCTCTCAGAATGTGCTAACCCTTCTTAGCTGGGGGCTGTAGAGAAACAGGCGGCAGGCTGGATTTGGCCCCCGGTGGTAATTTGCCCGCCAGGAGCACTAGGACTGGCTGGGTAGAAACTTTTTGGAGGACTGAGACTTTGTGGAGGCCGAGGCCTTCTTGGGACATTGAAGAGCTGGTTAGGTGATCTGTAAAGCTTGGTGTTTCTCTCAGTCGCTCAGGCTCTGAATTCCTCTTGTAACTCACTTCTCTTCTGATCATTGCGTAACGTGTGGAGCTGCTCTCGTTGGCCTCTGTGACTGCTGTGCTCGTCTCTGGAATCCGGTGTCCACAACCCAAGATGTGCTCTAGGGACTTGGTAAAAGGGAGAAGTCCCCGGCAGGGGGCAGCTGGGCAGGCTCCTGGGAGAAGGCGGCCTGTGGACTACGCTGGGGGCGGTGGGTTGTGGCGAGGAGGAGGCGGAGGCCGAGGTGCAGAGCTGGGACTGCCTGGGCAGGCGTGGACGGGCCGGCAGTGAGGTGCCTCTGCCCCAGGGAAGGAGCGAGGATGAGGCTGAGCCAGACCTGGAGGCTTGACTGCTCTGGGAGGACGACGGGGCAGGAAAGAGGCACGATTGGAGCATTGCTGTAGGAGTGTGGCTGCACCAGCAGCCGAGTGCATGATCGAGTGTCCTGAAGAGGCGATGGTGAACCAGCACGAGGTGTTGCTCTTGTCTCCTTCAGAAGCCACGAGGGCACCACCACGGCAGCAGCTGGAGCAGATGGCAGGGAACAAAGCTGGGGAGATGAAGAAGCAGGGCATCCATCTCTTGGAGAAGAGGGAGGGGTCAGAACTCCAGCTGAGCATGTAGGGCAGAATGTGGGTGCAGTCTGCCCACAATCACGTCCCAGCTCCGCCTAGACCAGCGCTGTGACCTTGGGCCTCAGTTTTCTCATCTGTAAAATGGGACACGGGACTGAGATGATGCACATAAATATAAAATGCTTAACTCCACACCTGATGCGTGGTGCATACCCAGTAAACGCCCCTGAGTTCCATCGTTACTGTTACGTTATTCCATTAACTGGAATGTGGAGGGAGGATGATTATTTCTAATTTAGTGATCACGAGTTTGTAGCCTACCCAGAGTACAGTGCCAGGCAGATTCACAATACACTTGCGGATTCATTTTTCTGTTAGTCAACAATCTCTTACCATTTGAGGGTCAAACTTGTATTAGCCAGTGGGATCTGTTTTCTGAGATCATCCATGTTATCCAGAGTAATCTTTGCTTTTCAGAGCTGTCAGGCATTTTCTTAAACAGCCATCTGGAGATGTGTTTTAACCAGGCCAGCTGCAAGGGACCACTTGTGAGTAGACAGCTGTTTACCTGTAGTCACACTTCCGTGTGGTTCTGTTCTGAGGTCCCGCTGCACACACGTCAAGACTCTGCAGTGAGCTGAGGGGAAGCACATCACCTGTGTGGAAACATGGCTAGATAAGCCAGATTGCTTCTTGTAGTGGGGCTTTTAAAGGGTCAGCACTCAGGAAACTGTATCTTGCACCTACAGACCTGCTCATGACAGAAAACACCGGTGTCTTCAAACAGTGCCTGGTGTGGGCACAGAGTAAACGCTGAATGTCTTGCTGATTAAAGTCAGGTGGCGCACTTCCCTCCCTGCCCAGAATTCAGCAGGACGATGGAGACCACCCTGTCCTTTTCTCCCTGCCTCCTGGTGACAGCTCGTTAATAACTCCAAGCAGGGCTGTTCCATGATCACACTCTGAGACAGGCAAGTGTCTGACAGTCTGCAGAGGGCCCTGAGTCAGTGGGGAGCCCCTGAGTAATCATAGGCGGGCCCGGGAGTATGCATGTTGGGGTGAAGGGAGGAGGAGGAGCCTGAACCCTGTAGACCTGAGCCTGAGACATCCAAGGATCACACAGCTTCTTTCGACTGCAAAAGTCAGCAGTTCCCGCAGGTACCAACCAATCATCTTGCCGTGTGATCTGGAAGGCAAACTGTGTCATGAAAAAAGGTGCACGCTGGGGGCTTCAGGGCTCTGTTGTCTGAGGCCCGTCTCGGGGGCTTGTAGACTGGAGGGCTGGAAGGGGCCTCATGACCTCCTGAAACCCTTGTTTCACAGACCATATTCTCAGACAGTTGGGAGGAGAAGCAACTGGTATGAGGCGATGTGGCCTCGGTGTGCCGAGTTAGGACAGAGCCCACTTCCCGTGACCTCTTCTCAAGGGGAAGTGTGGGGCGCTGGGTAGGGGAACGTGCAGATCCCGGCAGCCCTGCAGCACCTACTCTACCACTTTCTGACTGGAAGAGGTGTAGCCAAGCCTTCTCTTCCCATCAGGCTTCTAGCACCTTCCACAGAGACCCTGGTGAGGATTGATGCAGGCGTCTTTCTCCCAGCTAGGATTCTCTGGCTTCACTGGAGCAGAAAGGAGATTGATTGGATGGTTATGGGAATAGCGGCCAGTATCAGGAGGAAGCATGGAGGGGACAGGACACGGCCGCTGGGAGATCTGGATGGCAGGGGCGTGCTGCAGCCTCTTTGGTGCACCGCCGGAGTGAGTGCACGCCGTCTCTTTCTTGCATCATTTCACTCAAGACACTCCTTTGGTTGTGGGGAATGTAATTCCTCAAAAGGAAACTTATTAAATTGTTCTCCAGAGACAGTGAGACTTCCTAGACTGAGCGACTAGAAAGTGTTGATAAAAGTCTCTGTTAGGGTCGTAGTGATGGTATAATTTCCCAAGTTGTGAGTCTCTGCTGTAAAATGCCTGGATCATTAACGAACATCAGCCTGAAGCATCAAGAAGGGCAGGGAAGTCAAGTCTGCAGGATGAGCATCGTCCTGTTGCACTCTCCTCGACGTCCATTAGGGGGCGAGTGAGGCAAACAGCGATGTGCTGTATGACTGCTTTCCTGACCGCAGTGTGAGGTCATGTGAGGATTGTAGGAGGTCGGGGTTTGTTGAGAGGATTGAAGAGGAAAGCAAGAAATGGATTTGGGGCAAGTTAAAAAGTTACCCAGAGGGGCTGCACTTTGGATCTAAGACGTGAGAGCTTTCAAGATGAATACCAGCCCTGCTCTTCAGAGGGTTTCTGAAGGCTGTCTCAGACCTTTTCACTTCTCAGACGGGGAGAGCAGGGTGCAGGGGTGGAGGGAGTCATCTGCACCCATGGTGGGCTGCAGTTGTCACTGGCAAAGAACTTTTGTAGAGTTCCTCATTTTCAGTTTCTTTTTCAGAAGCTGAGGCTAAGCCATGATTAACCTTCAGCATCACGGGAGAACAGGGCTTGGTCAGAGCTCAGCTGGGGGTCTGCCCATGCTCTCCTTGCCAGGCCCCAGGGGCTAGTGGGAAGAGCCCTGGTGTTGGAGTCCGGAGACCTGTTCTATGTCCCAGATCTGCTCCTTGCTCAGTGAACAAGTCTCTGGGCCTCTCTGAACCTCAGTTTCCTCCTGTAAAGCAGAGATAATGAACTCTAATGACCCCACGCAGCACATGATAAGGACCAAGTAAACAGTAGCTGGACCTGAATCTTCAAGTGACCTGACACTCAAGTCTATAAGATCACCCTGGAGCTAGACCAGACCCGGGGTGGCGGGACGGGGCAGCGGGGCAGGGAGGATCGCCAGTGGTGTGTCCTCCGCCAGGGTCTCATTAGGAGTCTGAAGGTGTCTGTCTGTGGCCTGGAAGCTGAACGTTGTAACCTTCCCTCACGAGGTTCCACTTGGTTCAAGTTTGACCCGGGTTCTCTTTGTCTTCTCCCCTCCCTCCTTTTCCCCAAACCCCATCCCCTCCCAGTCGTGCACACCTGGAGGGCTGTACATCCAGTGACATCACAGCCTGGTCTCTTCTTTTTCCCTAGGTTGCTCTTCTAGACATTGACATATGCGGGCCGTCAATTCCCAAGATAATGGGATTGGAAGGCGAGCAGGTAAGTAGCTACGTTATAAAACGCAGGGAAAAGCATTCTTCCGGCACGCTGGCCCCGTGCTCCTAACCCAAAGCCACGGGGTCCGCAGAGCCCATGCATTTTCACCTGGACTTGATGACAGCAGGTAAACGTTCCCTAGTCCATCCGTCCACTTTTAACAATAGCCGTGAATTTTGGAGGTGGCGGAATTATATTTAAGTCCATCCAGACCATCTGAGAAGTGTTAGTTTCAGTGCCTTCTTAGAAGGGAAGGGAAACAACACGTAAAATGCAGAAGTCAGACACAGAAACTCGGTCCTGACTGGGGAAGCTCGACCAGGGCTGGCTGGGGTCTGTACCCTGGAAGCAAGGGAATATTTCTACCCCTGTGGTCACCAGTGGGGAAGTGAGACTACGAGGCGGGCTAGTGACGCAGTGGGGGCAGGGCCACCGCGGTCTCGCAGGTGCTGGTCTCCGCTGTAGGCGGCACGAAGCCTGCCAGGAAGGGGTTCCACTGGGGTGGGGATGGCTGGAGGGGTGCCCTGAAGCCGAGCTGGAGGGCTAGGCTCTTCCAGGGGTGTCAACATCAGTTCATTTTTTTTTTTAATTTTTAAATTTTACTCACCTTTTGAAGCAGGGGAGGTAATTAGGTTTATTTATTTCAGTGGTGGTACTAGGGACTGAACCCAGGACCTCATGTATGTTAAGCATGTGCTTTACCGCTGAGCTGTACCTCCCTCCTTGTCAGTTCATACTCAACTGAAGCGCTGGGCACTGTTCTGGGTGCTGGGGTTCAGAGGGAACAAGGCAGATACAGACCCTGCCCTCGTGGGAGGGGCAGATGGGAGATAACAGGACGCTGAGCCGGGTCAGGAGACAGGCAGGGCAAGCTGCTCTTTGGGAGGGGGTGCTCCAGGGCACCCCACGTGGAGAACCCAGAGAAGAGCACCCTGGGCAGAGGGAGTGCATGCCTGAAGCAGGAGAGGCCCGCGGGGCTCAGGCAGCCGAGGGAAGCCAGAGGCAGGCAGGGTCAGTCCTGGAGGCCTCCGCTCAGGACTTGGGATTTGCTTCTGGGGGGCTGGGGAGGGGCGCAGCACCATCCAGGGTGGAGGCGAGACGGCAACCCTGACCGCACACCCATAGTAATGGTCTCGGTAGTCCTCCCCCAGCCGCATGTCCGTGCCCTGCCGTCATCTGCACGCACGCCTTCCTGTGCCGGCACTTAAGTAGACCATAAAAATCAGAGCATTTAAATAACAGTGAGATTAAGCAGAAAGTCAACTGTTTCCTCCTTCTGTGCCATAGGGTCACCATGTTTACCCCTCTTTTAAGACCAGTGATTAGAGAATGAGCATTAATAGGAATGAATGGTTTTTGTTTTAAAGTATGATTTCAAAGTCAGTGACAAAGAACCACATATTACGTGATTGCATTTCTGTGACGTGTCAGGAACAGGCATGTCCGTAGACACAGCAGATCCATGGTCACCGAGGTCGGTGGGGGGAGTATGAGGATAAGGGGGTGACACTTCAGGGTGCAGAGTGTCTAAAGAGTCACAAAAGTGTTCTTAAATTGGTTGTGGTGATGGATGTACAATTCTGTTGTGAAGCCATTTAATTGTGCACTTTAAATGAGTGAATTGTGTGGCGTGTAAGTTAAATCTCACTAGACTCTAAAAAAAGATTTCATCAAGGATAATGGGCTTTCTGTTTTGGCTCCTGTGTTGCTTGAAGCCTAATTTCTAAGATTGATATGTAGTTGGAAGTTGCATAAGTTCCAGTTTCATAATAAAGAGGGTGCAGAGTTGAACCCTGGCAGTTAATGAACACCAGCTGCAAGGAAGGAGCCTGGGTCTTGAAGGAGCCCTGAGCTTCCTGCCGACACCCTTCCCCCAGTTCTTGTCCCCTGTGGGCAGCTGGTCAGCGCTGAAGCTCAGCCACTGATGCGCAGGTTCTGTGTCCCCCATTTCACTAAAGGTAATCCCTCCACGCCTGGACTTTTACCAGGACCAACTCACTGCTCCACAGTCACCTGCATTTTCTCAGCAACCCACAACCGATTTCGGTCACACTTTTCAAATACCCCAAATTATATTTGGACTCCAGTAACTTTGGTTCCCTGACCTGATATCTAAGCAGAGTTTCAAAGTAATTGGGAGGGGAAAAAGCATATGAATTATATTATCCATAACCTGTCCCCCGGCCCCCAGCTCTCCTCTCCCTGTGAAGAGTTCAGTGGTAGTGTTTAGGTTGACCAGTTATATTCTGTACAACTGTCCTCTCACTGCATGAACTTTGTCATGTGTGACATGTGACCAGGGTGCACGATTTCTCACCAGCCAGGACCCGCTCATGTTTTCGCAGGTTCACCAGAGCGGCTCAGGCTGGTCTCCAGTGGTGAGTGCCCGCCTCTTTGCCTTCTTTTCAAGGTAGCGTGTTATGGGTCGTGTGCACATAACAGGTACGGGGTGGGCTGGCAATATTTCTCTCTACCTGTTTATCAGGCAACAAATATTTATTAAGACACTTTTCTAGGCCCAGGGAATAGAGTTATGACCAGGAGTTAGCAAACTTTTTCTGTAAAGGCTGAGATTGTAAATAGTTTGTGGGCTATACTGTCGCCACCATCATAGCTCAAAAGTAGTGATACGCAAAGGAATGCCCACGACTGTTTTCCAAACAAACTTTATGTGCAAAACCAGAAGAGGGGACCACCCCAGGTTAAGGGAAAAAAGGCAGCGACGTTCATTTATTTCAGACACATTCACTGTCATTGCTGCATAGGGCCATGGGGTGCCTCTTTCAATCCCCCCCCAGTATGGTAACCTTTTTTTTTTTTCAATGATTTCTTTTGGGGAAAAAAAAGGATTTGAAGACTCAAAAGAGTGAATATACTCATAGATCACATAGTAATTTTGTCCTCCAAATTTTTTCAGCCAGAGTTCAGACAAAAGACATAGGGAAGCACCTGGCACTGTGGTTTTAAGTAAAATGTTTCTCACGTCATCTTTTCCAGTTCCTGGAAGACAACTTGGGGGTGATGTCGGTGGGTTTCTTGCTCAGCAGTCCCGACGACGCTGTCATCTGGAGGGGACCAAAGAAAAATGGTTTGCCACTCTGCTTTCTGTCTCTTATCCCGTCCTTCCAAGGGCAGAGCGGCGCCCTGTCCTGTCAGGGCCGCCTTGGGCTCATCCTGCCGGGCTTCGCTGAGTATTATTCTTAGCATTGGATTGTATCTTTCTTCCCTGGGTGAAGGGAGCGAACAGAAATACCAGTTTTATTTAATAAATAGAATTTGGTAACTTTTCATATCTGTCATGGTACAATATCATATCGTGATACTATCTCTCCTGAAAGCCTGCATAACCCTGGAATTACTCCCGCTGTGTTTTGCGTTCTGACTTGTCAGAGAGAGAAGTGTGTGGGGTGAAATCAGTGCCAGACTGAGGGCACTGAGGCCGCAGGTATTGATATGAAAGTGCCACTCCGGGCCTCCTCAGCCCCGGTGCTGTTGACATTTTGAGCCAGACGATCCCTTGTGAGAGAGGGGTGGGCTGTGCCCACATCATGGGGTGTTAGCCGGTCCCCAGCCTCTACGCACTGGAGGCGAGTAGAACCCGCACCGCAGTCCTGACAGCCAAACCCGTGTCCAGACACTGCCAGACCCGGCTGACCTAGAGCACAGACCAGCTGTGCGGAAAGGTCACAAGCGGCGCTTCTGGAAAGAGCGTGGTGGGGGCAGAGGAGAGAGGAGGCGTGACTGCGATTTCTCTTTGCAGGCATGATCAAGCAGTTCCTCCGCGACGTGGACTGGGGTGAGGTCGACTACCTCATCGTGGACACCCCGCCCGGGACGTCGGACGAACACCTGTCGGCCGTCCAGTACCTGGCCGCGGCACACATCGACGGGGCGGTGATCATCACCACCCCGCAGGTGAGCGAGGGCCCGGGCGGCGCTGGCTCTCTCTCCCCGACCGGCCCGGGCCCGGTCGTCCGCGGCGTCTTCTAGGACGTCGGGCGTC